TAGCAAAAACCTCTCCAAAAAAAAAAAAGGTAAGAAAGTAAAGAAAAAAAAAAAGGCTAAAAACCACTGGCCCAGACTATGAATGCCTTGAAGGCACTGATGGACCCTATTAAATACACTGGGGCACATAATCTGGTACTTGGTAGGTACTTATTACATGCTGAGTGAATGAATGAATGAAAGTGAAGAGAGCCTGGAATGGCCCTTCCCAGAGTTATGGCCAGGCTCCTCTCTGCTAGAGTGAAAGGAAATTTTATACCTTTTAATTGAAAAAAATGTCTTTTCCAAAAAGTTTCTTTCTCCCATGAGTGGCGGGGGGGGCGGGGCAAAGAGAAACAGACTTCCAACAGGTCTTCCGTGCTGCCACCCGGCCCCAACCTCAGCCGGCACCAGGTCGCGGACACAGGGGAGCCTGTGCTCAGGGGGATCTCTGGGTGTGACCCGGAACCTTTCCATGTGAGTCGGGCTCACAGAGCATCGAGTCACTGCCAAGTCACCGTCCCGCTGCCTTTTTCAGTTTTTGGACATCACAAGGGAGTGGCAGTGACACTAGGACCTGGGGTGACTTCCTGGAAGATTGACAAAGAGGAAGTGGGCACTTGGGACTCCAGGCAGACAGGAAGAGCTTTTGGGGAGTGAGCGATCTGGGGATGGGATGAGGACATTGGGTATCTGATGGCTTCCTACCGGGCAGGGGTCGGCTTGGTGGCTTGTACCCTCTGCTCAGACCCCCAGTGTCCAATGAAGGGCCTTGTAGCCAGGGTGTCTTTGGAACAACCACATCCCAGCAGCACCCTCGGGGGAGATTGGAGAGCCAGAGAGGGATAGGACTCAGGATTTAAAAAAAAAAATTATATTATTTATCATCATCATTACTATTATTTAAGTTTGCTACAGGACACATGGGCTCACCAAAGAGAGACAGAGAGGGAAAGTGAGAAAACAAGCCACCAGGTCTGGGACTTGAACTGTGGTTGACCATGTGGGAGTCCAACAGCTTAACCACCATGCCACCTGCTGGTTCCAAACCATGATCTTGTGCCCTCTGTGACCTTGACTCCCCAGACCTCTGGCGGTGGGGCTCACCTGAAGCAGTGGGCAGCTGTGAGGATCCAGAGGGGGTCCAGGATGCTGCCACCACAGATGTGCATTTTGTTGTACTGGAGGCTCACCTGCCATGGCCACGAGTCCACAGAGGCCGGTTCCCCGCCCACCACTCGAGGAGCCCTCAGGCTCTCCCCGCAAGCTGCGTGGGTAAGAAGGAGGGAGGAAGCAGGAATTCAGGCTCTGGCGTCCGCCCTGAGCAGGGCCCTTAGATGGGACCAGAGGGGTTGGCTGGACCAGGCCAATCCTGACTTATTCCTGGGGAGAAGGGAGTGTCCCAGACCACAGGCTCCCCCCAGCCTCCCCTCTTCTCTCTGGCCTGGGATGTGTAGGAATTCAAATATGAATACAGGCATGGCGCTATGCTGGGAACTTGTGACCTTCAAGCCATGCAGCGATGCTCGATTACGACATCCCAACCCAGGGAGTGTCCCCAGCTGCTCCCACCAAGTAACAGTAAACAGACGCCCACGAGCTGCTTTGGGACCCGGAAGAGGGAAGAAAGCTCCAGAAACTAGATCTTCTCAACCCAAACTCACCTTTCTCCAAGTCCCTTGGCCCTCCCATCTGCCGCCATATATTCCCACTGCCCTTACCACATGACCTTAAATGCCTGTGGACGCTATAATCCCACCTCCCACCTCCCACCTCACCTCCATCTCTTCCTCTGACAGCTTCTCACAGGGGCCGTCCCTGGGGGAAAGACGGCCACCCTTTCCCAGATGCCTGGCGCGCTGCTAGGCAGGGGCTTGTCGGACCCTGCCTGGTTTCAGACGCTGCTGTCTCCCTGTCACCTCACTCGCTCATTCCAAGCCCCGAGCACCCCTCCAGTTGGTACAGATCTTCCCCCTGGCAGCCTCCTTTACTTATATAAAGTTTCTGTCTAGCCGAATTGATCTGTTTGCAGCTCCCTAAAAAGTCATTCTGTTTTTGCTCAAGGAAGCACCCCTCCTCCCTGAAATGCTGTCTCTCCAGTGCATCCAAGTCATTTCTCGATTCAGCTGGTTTATGTTGGTAGGTGTCTACTGTGTCTCGGGGCAGTGCTGGATTCTGGGAGAGTGTGGTGGATAAGATGGAAAGACAGACATGGTCCTCCCGTCCTGGAAGCTCAGTGTGAGCCTGGATAGCACCTCCAGGCAGCCCAATCCCTGGGATTTTCCTCGCTTGGAACTGCAGCAGCCTGCTCTGGGTGGTGGCTAGCCTGTCATTGTTGTCATGCTTGGGTTTTGTCTACTCAAACAGAAGGCCGCTCAAGGGCGGGCCTGTCCCTCAAGGCTTCTCTGAGTCTCCGACTCTACGAAGACGGTGAGCAGCCGCTCAGATGACGTGACCATTTACTCATTGGCTGGTGGCCTGGCATCAGGTCCCACACGCTAAGCATTGTGGGACGAGTCACATGACAACGAACAGCAACTTGAACATCCCACAGGCGAGCATAGACATGCTAAACGGCAAAGATGATCTTCCTCTTTCCTACTATCTGGCCATCCTTCTAGGCCCCCTCAGCTCTTCCCCATGATGCTAGCGGGGTGCCCTGAGCCACAGCGCTCATTTTCTCTTCTCATCTCCTCTGTTAGAACCAGAAGGGTCTCCTGAGACCCTCGTTGGGCAGTTGGACTTCTTGGGGCAGTGAACCTCAGAGAGCTTAGGTGAAATCTTCAAGGTCACACTGGAAGTGAATGGGTCCAGTGGCCAGGTCATTGGACCCAGCCAGCTCCCTCTGCAGCATGTCAAGTGTGACAGCCATCCAGCATGGCACTTCCCTCGGCTGTCTGGTGTCTGTCAAATCTAAGCTTCCCGAGGCTAGTGGCCAGTTCTTTTACTTGTCTGGTGTTTTCTCTTTCCAGCTGACACCTGACTGAGTGAGACACATTCTCACTGTTTGATGAATATTTGCTCAACTGGGTGGATAATCCGATCTCAGATTCCTGAGCTGATTGTGACAGAGGAGACCTGTGGGCCTGACCAGGCGTGGAGGGGGCAGAGCCCAGCCTGCCCTTGCCTGTTTTCTGATTCTCCCCTGGGTCTCTGTGCAGGTCGTGGGGCTGTGTGTGCATGGTAGAAGGAAGTTCTTGATGTTAACTGCTGGAAGGGGCACTGATCCACAAGCCCAAGGGCTGAAGAAAAAGTCTTGGCCCAAACAGAGTGAAGCTTGGAGTCTGAGAGAGTTAGGAAGGAGGGTGACTGTCCTGCTCCATGCTCATCACTGGCCCGGGGCCCCAAACCTTCAGAGATGAGCTGTACTCACCGTGGCAGTACAAGGAGACCAGGGAGCCCGAGAGACAGGGTCTGGAAGAGAGACACAGGGTCTGTGGGTTTTGCCTCTCTCGTAATTGGGAGACGGGGACTCGGGCCTGTGGTCTTTTAGGCTCCTCCTAACACCTGAGAACCTGGAACCTGCATAATGAGGACTTCATAGAAGTGGCATCAACATTTGGTTCAATCTGATTTGATTCAACATCCCATCGTTAAGCACCTACCATGTGCTGAACCCTGCCTGTTTCAAAGCCTGACCCAGGCTCTGGCAGGAGAGGGAAGAGAACAGAGCCTAGACCACTGGCTGCCCTTCTAAATGGAAGAAGGATGGGACTCCAATGGAATTCCAGGCAAACGATCCCTCTGCTACCAGCCCTGTTCTTTTCAAGGTTTCCTCCTTAATGAATAAGCAGCCGGAAGCACCATCCCTGAATGCTAAGAAGCCAGCCTCCGTTCCCAGCCAGTGGCTGCAGTGTGACAGATACCCTCTGTGCAGTGCTCCCATGCGGGGTGGCGAGGCAGATGAACAAGCCATCGACCAGAGTCCTGGCACCTCTCCCCAGAGCTCTGGGCAGGTGGGGAGGTCCGGCTTGTTTGGGTAAGCAGCGGGGAAGGATGAAGGGACCTTTGGAATCTTGTCCATTGGGCAATTTAAGCAATAGGGAAAACGTGACTGCTGGAAGAGTCACTTTGTCCAGCCTCTGGGTAGGACAGCACATGTTGTCCAGCTGTCTGTCCATCATATTAAAGAGAGCAACCTAGAAGACCTCTCAAAGATGCGATTCTACAGCGCTCGGCATGTAAAGATCTGCCTGGCTAGACGGTCATCCCATTGTCTGGCTTAAGTTCTCTTTGCTTTTGGCCTGTTCAGGGTGACCTGACTGCAGCCCCAAGAGGAGCCTTTTTCATAGGCCAGGAAACGTCCTCTCACTTACCCACTTGAGTTCTGCACCTGAAGCTCCTGGCTGTTTTCTGTGACTTTAACGACATCCAGACTCTGATCTGGGCCAATCTTCACAGCTCTGAAAGTGGGTTTGCTGCTCGATCTGGAAGGGAGACAAAGTTGTGAACAGAGTAGGAGATTAACTCCAGATGATGAGCGTGGCCCCACTCCCAGGAGAGAGGGTGGCAGAGAAGGCCAGGTGGGGAGCAGGAGAGGAAGGAAGTGGTCTTGTCCAATGACAGCATGTCCTGCTTGGCTGTGCAATGAGTGAGGTTGTCCTGGCCTCTGTCTTGGTCAGTGACGTGGGGCCTGCTCGGCTGTGCAATGAGGGAGGTTGTCCTGGCCTCCGTCTTGGTCAATGACATGGGGCCTGCTCGGCTGTGCAATGAGGGAGGTTGTCCTGGCCTCCGACTTGGTCAGTGACGTGGGGCCTGCTTAGCTGTGCAATGAGGGAGGTTGTCCTGGCCTCCCAGGACTCAGCCCTAGGACCTGTGCTGACATGCCCTTCCTTTCTGGGCCTGGGACTCCTAGGCCAGAACCCAGAACTGTGGAGAAGTGTTAGCGATCTCCTTTCTTAACTCCCAGATTTTTTCTATTTAAAATGTCCCAGCAGTCTCTTGTAGGTCACAGCAGGGGGGACAAAGAGACGAAGGGACCAAGTACATTTCCTCCTCACCTTGGAGGAATTGGTGTGGCTATTTGGTTCTCCGAGCAAGGCATCTGGTCTGACTTTGATAGTGGGGTGCATTTATGGCCCCCTTGGAGACAGGGCAGGTTGGGTCAGTCCTTGTATGAATTCAGAGAAATATTTCTTTTGTGTGGAATCCTTCCTCTTTGCCTCTGCTAGTCTGAGTTTACCTTTCAGACTCTTGGGTTTTATTTTTTAAAGAATTATTTTATTTAACTTTATTTATTATTATTATCATTATTATTATCATTATTATTTTCCAGTTTGATCAGAGAGACACAGAGAGAGAGAGAGAGAGGAAGTGAGAAAGCAAGCCACCAGGTCCAAGACTTGAACCATGGTCGGCCATGTGGGAGTCCAGCACCTCTAACCACCGTGCCACTTGCCGGCCCTAGACTCTTGGGTTTTTTGTGTGTTGCTTTTTAGAGATATTTTTGCTATAGGGTGTGTAAACTTGCCAAAGAGATAGAGCAACAGAGAGACAGAAAGTGAGAAATCCCCCTTCAGGGGTGATGGCCATGTCAAAATCTCTTCTCCATTCTCCTTTTGAGATTTTGGGCACACATGCACACGCACTCGGTGTGAGTTTGAAGCTGCCAGGTCTGGGACTTGAACTGTGGTTGACTATATTGAGCATCCAGCAACGTAACCATTATGCCATCTTTTGGTCCCCAGACTGTTGGGTTTAACTCTTCTCTCCTCCAGGAAGCCTTGCCTGATTAATCCCATCTCCCTAGTTGTTTTTTTTTTTCAATGAATCTCTCTCTTCCTCCTTCCCTATGCTGCCACACTGAGGCAAACTTCATGGAGGGCCAGGGTGGACCTATAGCACTGGCACTTCTCAGTCAGATGCTGCCACTACTGGGGGACCCAGTGCTGGACCTGGGAAGACCAGAGCCTGCTTGAAGAGTCCTCAAGACCTAGGTTCTTCTCCTGGCTCTGACACTAGTTCTATCTGTGACCATGGGCAGGTCACATTTCTTCTCTGGGTCTCCCTAAGCCTCGGTGTCCTCCTCTGTAAAATGATTCGGAACCAGACCATCCCACTCACCTTGAATGACCTTTAGTTTTGCGGTTCTACCAAATCAAAGGCCCTCCAATCCAGACAGAGGAAGGAAAGTGAGACATCTGAGATCCAGAAGTTTGGACATTGCCGGGGAGGTAAACATCTGACCACTAATTGCATCCTAATAAATAATTCTGATGAACTTAGGTTTTGGCAGAACCCAAGAACTGGGTGATTTGGTGCCTTTGTGAGCTCTGGAAAGACAGAAACTCCAGGAACCTATCACCTTAAGAACCCCTGGAGACAGGAGGTTTCATAATCAGGCCTCAGCCTGAGATGCTGGGTACAGCTGACACTGCAGCTGGCAGGGCTGCAGCAAGGGGGTGGGACTGGCTGCAGGGAGGCTGGGCCTGGAGGCTGCAGGAAGGCTGGGCCTGGAGGCTGCAGGAAGGGAACAGCAGTGGGGGTGGTGCCTTCCTCACTCTCTTCAAAAACAAGGTAGTGGCATGTCCTTCTGGAGGGTACTGGGAGTCGCACCCCACATAGGGGTAGGGCAGAGAGCAGCAGAAGCCTGATAATCAGAGAGGAGAGAGGGTAAATGGGCCTGATCATTTGTAATGACTGCCTGGAGCATTTCCTGATTAAAGACCTTGAGGCTACTTTAGAGATCGATGGGAGAGAGTTCTGGGATTGATGGGTGATGTCTGCCTAGTAGTTACCATTTCTGGGTCTAGTTTCTTAGAATTCTGAAGAAGTCTGTGGCCTGCCAGGGCCAGGTTATCTCACTCTGCAAATGAATACATAGCTTCTTTTCTATCCTCTCCAGTGAGGTTCTCACGGTCTCACTCCCCCTTCCTTTACAGACAAAGCACTGGAGAAGAGAGAATTACCCCACCTGGACACAGAGACACTCCTAGGATGCCTGATGCCCGGAAATTGGGCACAAATTCTAGCTCTTCCCCTTCCAGCTACTACCTAAGCCAATTACTTTCTGGGAGCCTATTTATAAAAGAGATTAAGTAATAATACCTTCTTGGTTTTCTGCCAAGATCAAATGAATATAAACATAATATAATGCTAATTACCCTTATTATAATTATATACTTTTCATCCACTCCAGATTTGGAACTGCTTTTGAAATTTGCTGAGCTAGGGTTGCTGGTGATGGGGCTCCCTATGAAATCGGGCTTGCTGAAGCTAAATTTTAACCAATGGGACTTTGCATAGTAGATTAAGCTTTTCTATTACTGGACAGGGACAGCTCCTTGTGAAGTCAGGACAAAGCACTGAGGGCTGAGGAGGGAGGTGCAGGAGAGGACGGCATCAGAGCGAGGACTGTGTGTGTGTGTGTGTGTGTGTGTGTGTGTGTGTGTGACAGAGGGTCAGCATACTGCCTCTCGCTGGCACCCCATCATCATCCTGTAAAGTTGGTGTTACTGTTCCCAGTTAACTCTGGAGGCCTGGTAGGTTTCATTTCCTGTTGTTGGGATCTAAAAGCAGTTCCGTTGGTTGATTCCTATGCCCGTGTTTTTAGGAAAAAAGGGAGGAAGGAAAGGAGTCACAGGAGGAAAGAGGAAGGGTGACAGGGGAGAGAAGGCCGCAGGAGTGAGGCAGCAGCTCCCGGGGGCTTGGCCTGGGTACCTGCTGTAGCCCATCTGCGCACAGGCTGTCCTGGCCAGAGCTTCTGTGAAGTTGTCAGCACAGGCGGAGGCCCAGTTCCCCGTGGCCGGGTCCAGCAGCTGCAGGGTAGCTCGGTCCTTGGAGAGGCGGACTGGGATGGGAGGAGCCCAGGTTAGCTGCAGAGCAGGGCCCATCCAGCCTACCCGCTCAGAACTCATCATGAGACCAGCTCCAGGTCCCCTAGCCTGGAGCTAGAGGGCACCAAGGGGCAGCATCAAGAGAAGCTCCTCCACTTGGCTTTGTCTGAGCTCGTGTTGACAGTGGCCCAGGTGAGACAGAGGGTCAGCATACTGCCTCTCACTGGCACCCCATCATCATCCTGTAAAGTTGGTGTTACTGTTCCCAGTTAACTCTGGAGGCCTGGTAGGTTTCATTTCCTGTTGTTGGGATCTAAAAGCAGTTCCGTTGGTTGATTCCTATGCCCGTGTTTTTAGGAAAAAAGGGAGGAAGGAAAGGAGTCACAGGAGGAAAGAGGAAGGGTGACAGGGGAGAGAAGGCCGCAGGAGTGAGGCAGCAGCTCCCGGGGGCTTGGCCTGGGTACCTGCTGTAGCCCATCTGCGCACAGGCTGTCCTGGCCAGAGCTTCTGTGAAGTTGTCAGCACAGGCGGAGGCCCAGTTCCCCGTGGCCGGGTCCAGCAGCTGCAGGGTAGCTCGGTCCTTGGAGAGGCGGACTGGGATGGGAGGAGCCCAGGTTAGCTGCAGAGCAGGGCCCATCCAGCCTACCCGCTCAGAACTCATCATGAGACCAGCTCCAGGTCCCCTAGCCTGGAGCTAGAGGGCACCAAGGGGCAGCATCAAGAGAAGCTCCTCCACTTGGCTTTGTCTGAGCTCGTGTTGACAGTGGCCCAGGTGACCAGATATCCTGGGGTCACTCTCCATCGTGTCCATTGCCCTGCCACAGGGCTCTTCCAGGCCTCAGCATTCATGATACATCACAAAGTCACTTTCCCCATGGTCTACACAGCCTGCCCAGCTTGGGGCAACCTCTCAGTGAGGGTCCTCACTCCTTCTCCATGAGAGACAGAGCAGAGACTGAGAGGGCAGTGCTGTGGGCAGCAGCATGGCCAGTGCCCACAGGCCTTTGACTTCTAATACAAAAAGGGACAAACACACAGGAAGTCACCCAGCCCTGCTCCGAGAAAGCCATATTCCCCTACTCTTCAGAGTCAAGTACCAGGTGGATCAAGCTAGGCTACCCAGTCCAAGAATATGGGTTTTCATGCTCAGAACCACTCACGTGCCTTTGAAGGATCTAGCTCAGTCCCGTTTCTCAGAATGACACAATAGAGGGTCAGCGATTGGCTAAATGGTCTTTAAATCTCTTTCCAGTCCCCTTCAAATATCAAATTTCATAGAAAGAGAGCGCTCCCCCATCATCCAGTCTAGCCCTCTGCCTCCAATCTGGGGTGCAGCA